GGGTTTCACCGTGTTAGCCAGGATGGTCTCGATCTCCTGACCTCGTGATCCGCCCGTCTCGGCTTCCCAAAGTGCTGGGATTACAGGCTTGAGCCACCGCGCCCGGCCGCTAAACCGCTTCTTAACAAGACTTTCGTGTTCTGATTTCTTCCTACTTCCCCATATTCATCTGTGCAGCCTCCTCCCTAAAATACACCTACACGCATACACATAAACATACATATTTCTCCAACCACTCCCAATTATTTGCAGCTCCACAAACATGCTACATTCTTTCATTTCTCTGTGTATATGCATCCTCAGCCTACTTGCCATACCCTCAATCTTTCTCACATCTCCATGTGGTAATTCTTGCTCTTCCTTAAAAATTCAACTTTCTTCCCTGAATTCCTATCATGTTTCATAGAGCACTTATCACATTGCATCGTAATTTATGTGTGCACCTGCCTGCCTTTCTATATAATTTTAGTGGCTTTGTAATAATAATATGGTGAAGAACAATATTTAGAAGAATAGGATGAAAGCTGTTGATATTATTCTGGTTAATCACTCAGAAAGAAATGGAAAATGGGATTGTGACTGAACATCTATAAGCAGAAGTAAAGGATGAGAGAGTACAGTTGTTACAGCTCTAAGCCTTAACAGTGAAACTTAAGAATGGTATGGACCTGATGAGAACGAGGCCTCTTGAGGACAAGTCACACTAGCCCTGCAGAGGATTGATGGCTCCAGTAGGCAGATGGGAAAACCCATCAAAATGGGACTTTCCAGGAACATAACCATGAAATTGCAATTGAAATGGCTTCTCACTTTTCTTCTTTTAATTAAGTGACAGTAAAGTCGTCATGCAGGATGGCATACTGATCTGTGCATGTGCATATCTTGGTGTATTCATGTTGGAAAGGCTCTTACGAAAAAAGTTGCTAAGAATGAGAACTCGATTTTGAGGATTTGTCTTAAGGTTTCTTCAAAAAGATTTCTGAATGCAAATGGTACACTTATGTAATATATGGCTAAGGTTAGCATAGTCTGCCTGTTGCTACCACAGCCCATCAGTCTGTCTAGCTGCACTGGGGCAGGGGGTGCATCCGGGTGATTCTAACAGAATTCTGCCTGTTTTTTGTTTTTTTGAGACAGAGTTTTGCTCTTGTTACCCAGGCTGGAGTGCAATGGCACGATCTGGGCTCACTGCAACCTCCACCTCCCGGGTTCAAGCAATTCTCCTACCTCAGCCTCCCGAGCAGCTGGGATTACAGGCGCCTGCCACCATGCCTGACTAATTTTTATATTTTCAGTAGAGACAGGGTTTCGCCATGTTGGCCAGGCTGGTCTCGAACTCCTGACCTCAGGTGATCCGCCCGCCTCAGCCTCCCAAAGACTCTGATCCTTTTAACCAGCGAATGGGAGGCCCACACAAACAACTTTTGCTCTCCAAAACTAAATAGAACCCAGGAGTTATTTGAAGATGTAAACTCATCAGTAATAGGACTGAACGTCTTTTTAATATCAACAGAGTAAATTCATTATGAATAATTACACCTCGACCCTAAAATATTATCAAGTCCTCAGTTACCTCAATGTACTTAAATACCAAAAAAACTGCCTGTGCTGAAATATGTACTGGCTAGGCTTATCTGAAGGGCTATGGGTGACTAAATTCACTTCCAAAGTTAAACCACAATGTAGTAAATAGCAGGTTTCTACTTCTTGCTGAATTCCCTGAGAATTCAAAGAGAATGCTTGTGGTTACAAACTGCTGTGTGAGGTTGAAATCGTCAGCCACTACACTTTGTGGGCGCTCCTTTAAAAACCACAGCAAAACACCAGGATGCAAACAGATGGCTTTGAAAGAACTTCGCCTGAGGGGAAGCAGGCGACCAGGGAGGAATGAGCCTGCAGAGGGGACGGTAGCCGCCCCCTCAGCTCTCCACAGGAGTGGTCTCTGGGGTTCCCAGGCTCACAGCAAAGTGAGAGGTGGGGGTCTCGGGCGTGCCCCTGAGCTCCGGGAGGGCCTGTGGCTCCTTTAATTCCAGGACCACCCGGCTCAGAATGCCTTTGAGCAGCTGCATTTCTCGGAGCAGAAGGTCCACGTCGGGTTTCAGGGCTCCAGCCGATTGTTCCAAGGGCGTCGGCGAAGCGCAGGCGGGTGGCCCAGCAGTCGGGGCGCCACTTGCCGGGAACTGCAGCCCGGTGGAGGTGGTGCTCGGGACGGAGGTGACCGACGGGACCGATCTGGACACCGGGGGCTTTCGGAAGAAAAGCGGCTTGTTTCCAGGAGCCAAGGCTGCGGCCCGTGGGGCGGTAGTGGAGGCCGGGTCCAAGGGAGAACCTGTGAATGTATCACTCCCAGTCACGTGCGGCTTTCATGGTTCTTCTCGGCGCGGGGCTGGGGAAGAGGCGTGGGGCGGTGGGCGGGGATGGGGAAGGCCGGAAGAAGGGTGAGGAGGAGGGTGGCGAGTGGGAGATGGGAAAGACTGGG